GATCGGCTGAAATGCAATTGTACGTTTCTTGAGTCGTCACTAAGAACGTTCGAAATCAAATGATGTGAAATCATGCGGATGGTTCAGTCAAAACAAACGTTTTATACTCTTCTAAGTTGCGATTAGGAGTAAGTCGATCATGGATGCGCAGGACATTGCTTATACCCTTACTGAAATCGCTGTTATTTCCTGGATCAAATGCCACAAAGCTCTTCCCAGGAAATCCCATGAAATTCCATAAACCTACGTCACGATCTCTGAATCGGATTTAATTTCTAGACGACGAGAAAACTTGATTTCAAACCGAACTGGTCAGGGGCTTATGGTAAAAAAACGTCATCTACTCCGCAGAGGACCGGAGCTGCCACCTCTCCTACAAGAATTAGCGTACAGGAATGAAGGGGCATCTCAGGCCAGCTACCTGGCGACCTCAGTCCTTCGTTGAATTCAGAATTTCCACTTGCCAGACGGGCATAGAGAACAGATAGATGTGCAGAACTAGCCAATCACTTTCTTCCTTCCCAGCACAGGAAAACGTTGCGTCTCATTACCAGTAAGGCAATGCTCGTTGTTTGATTCACTCCACGCTTGCTAACCACAGCCCCTGTTACGGTATTTTTGAGCGACTTGATACCCAGGACTTGTTTGTTTGTTTACTTGTTTATGGACCGATTCCACGTATATAAACACATGAGTTCAGTGAGTTCAAGGAAGGTAAGCGTAGCAATGTTGTTGACCGAGGAAAACGGCAATGCCGAAAACAACTAGCTAGCAAACCAGAAATCAAGACATTAAAGAACAGGCATCGAACGGATCAGACCGACTCCAATAAGAAGATCTCACTGAATAATCTGCTCGGGAAAAAGTAAAGTCCAAGCTCAGACAACAAATATCGCAAGAGACAGATGAAAAACACTGCTACCAGGATCGCAAATTTGTAGGGAACTATTCAGCCCAGAGATGACCCTGCTAACCCTGCTAATCAGACCACCAGTTGGTGACATATACATGGTTACGAGTGAGGTTTTTAGCGTTGATCAGGTCCGTTTTCGGGGTGCGCCCTGCATTGGACTTCCGTCCAGAACCGTAGTGGCGTATTGAATGCGTAGGTGGCCTATGCAATGTCTTTTCATGGCCAGCCCATGTACAAGTCAGTGCTTTTATTATCTTAAAGGGGTGTTATACCAATGAACCGACACCGAAAGGGCGAAAAGTTTAGTAGGCCTAGATGGATATCTAGGCCAACTAAGCTTCGAACCCATTACCGTGCGTGTGAAATAGTGCGCTACTTGTCCCCTACGTACACCCTCTTGCCCGTCATATACATAAACGTCTAAATAAGATGAATCGAGTGAACCTTGAGGACAAGCAAGTTGGTCATATCCCACTGCCACCGTGGGTAGCTCCACCCCCACCAGCATATACCGATGTAGGTGGAAAGATGCACAGCATACCAAACTTTATTCCAGCTCCTTCTCTGCCCGTCTAGACAGCTTCTGTTATTGGACGGAAACAACCAGGCTTGCAGCACTACATGGAGAAACTGGAGAATACCTATTGCTACGTCAAAGTGGCCATGGATTCAAATGCAAATGTCGTTTTATTCGATGAAACGACTCTGTCTGCATCAGATAGTCCGCTTACGCATACAAATAGCGGATTCCAATTTGAGCACACCGTTGTAAACAAGCACATCATCAGACGACATACCACATAAATTGAGCGGTGGTGATCGTTCTTTGCGCCGAAAAAACGAGAAAATCTACGGAAATCTCAAATATAAGACCCTTTACGAACTGACCGCCTTTTATTGGTAGGGGGTTATGGTGATTAAGGGAGTGTTTGGACGAGATTTCGAAGATGACTCGCTTTTCATCACCAAAACCCTCACCCGGTCAACTGTGTCAGCTCTGGGCGAGTATCATGTAATTGCAAATGGAACAAACGTGCTCTAAGTGAAACAGCACCAGCCTTTATAACGCCACAAAACGCGTCCTTTTTTTATAGTACACTATGTATTCAGAGACGGTACGCAATCGAGCTGTTTTCGAGCCCTTATCGCCCCTATCTGGGCCCCTTATTAGCTTTGGTATGCCCCATGTGGTCTTCTCAGGAAGGTACAGATTCTCTTGGACCATTTTGGGCATTCTAGAGTAGTTCAGCAAATAGCAAGAAATGTAGCCATGTGGGTGGAAGCGGTGATTACTAGCGATGGATTCAAACTTGGAAATTGTCCAATGTTCACACCATCTTCGTGGTTTTCGAGTCTTCAAATGCTGTAACTCATGAATAAATCTAAGTTGTCCGCTTAAAAATTAGTGTCGCAAACGCGAAGTGATGTGATAGACTTGGGAAACGTCGGTGGACCTTGTGTTGTGACATCTTCTCCTAAACGGAAGCACAAACGAGAACCATTTAGGTTTCTGACCTTTGTATTAAACAAAGCGAACTCCGACATGCCCATGTAGCTCCCTTTCCCCCTGTTGGAGTCTGCTTCCGATTATGTCCAACATGGCGTATTCTAGGAAAACCCATTATAAATCACAGAAGTTTCGCCTTCTATTAACATATGGGAATAGAGACTGGTAGTCTTGATATCCCTTGACACGAGAACAGCGAAGATGGTTTGCAGAGGCTCGATTTCTGACTTTTGCTTAAACCTGCTCCATTACCTGTACTCAAACAAAACACTTAAATTTCTTATGAACGTCCAGAAGGTTCTGCTAAAACCAGAAAACCCTTGGGAAGGACTTTGGCTTGATGAAGCCGCCTTAACAAAAATGTCAACAAAAAAGTCAACACTTCGAAATGCAACTAATTAATGTGACTTCTGTTCGAAAGATGTATGTAGATGAAGAAAACAACTAAAAGAGGCCGAGAATACGAGAAGAAGAAATCCCATCTTCCATGGAAACAAAATTTAGAAGAGGTGCGATTCCGAAAATAATTTCCGAAATAGGTCCACGTTTGATACTAGTGAGACAGTGTCAGTGCTGCTCGACAGTAAACCACAGAAATTTTTTGATCTCAACCTTCTTTGGCTAAGCTATCTACGCAATATCATCGCGATTATACAAGCGCACGGCTTCTCCTGGAACTTCTCTAGTGATTTCTCAGAGCTCCACTACCTTTATTAGATTTCTCACTACAGAACTGTTTGGAAGGGGAACGACTTAGTCTTTTCGACGTTCTGCTTCTTGTGCCCTCAAGGAAGTAAGTCAAAAGTCTCATCAACGACTGTGAGCCCTATCCCCTAGTATACCCCATACTTTCCTCAAAGTGAATCGCATGAGCTCATTGCTAAGAATTTCATGACAGCTGCTTAAAGAAAATAGAGCCTTCTAGAGGGGCCCCCTCGAACGTTATTTCAACTAAACAGTTGCCACTACTTTCCACTTCTTAGTGCCACTAGAAGACGAAACCAAACAAACGAACCTGAAAAGGCAAAGTCAATGTCTTGGAAGCATCTAAAGTACTAAGCCGGTAAGGGAGGAGGCTTTCAAGTAAACAAACACAAGTAGGATCAGTAGGTTTATTATCTGCTTTTCGAATATCTTCATGAATCACTTATAGAAGTACATCATCTGCACCATTGAGTTGGGTCGGATGAGTACTGGAAGTGCCTATATTCCTTCTAGTGAAAGGACAAAGTTCCTTGGACCATGCATGGGGGACGGAACATTCACCCAGAACTGGATGGACGCGGCAAACCGCGCGGCAGAATTTGCGGTGATTGCAAAATTTGTGATGATTAAAACGGCATTGGCGCCTATCATTGGGGTACAAATTTGAAGTGGGATAGATAAATAGCATCAGCTGGTCCTACTTACCCTATCTACTTGTAATCGGTGCCCCAATGATAGATGTCAAAGCCGTTTTAATCACCACGAAATTCGCCGTGCGGTTTGCCGCGTCCATCCAGTTCTGGGTGAATGTACCCATACTCCCATGCATGTGATAGTGCATTACTCGACACTACACCAGCTCCGCCTTTTTTCCAGGTGACTTTGAGGAAATGGAAAGTGAAAAAACGAAGCTCACATGTTCGCATGCCAGAAAAAACGATGGAGCACGAGGTCTGAGTGGAAATTAGCTGTGCCTACCCATACACACGCATGAGTGAGTTTACGTGGTAAGCAACTAGAGACAACGAGGAACATCCTGCCATCAGCAGACAGCGGTCGTAATTGGAGCAATTATTCTGGACTAAACAAGAATGCCTAAACGGACACGCTTTTCACAACAACTTTTGACTAAGTAGTTATAATGCTTCACAGTAAACCTTAGGGGAAAAAAATTAGTTCAAGTATGAAAAGCCGAAGTCAGTCGGATCTGGGAGGTGGAAACGTGAGGAGAGAAAAGAATCGTTGAAGTTAGACGAGAGTGATCGATAGCATCATGAATGTGACTGGAAAGTTGAGTTCCTCTTAAGTGAGATCAAAAGTGTCGACAATTTCTTGACGACTGCTGAGAAGAAGAAATGAAAAGAATCGTTGAAGTTAGACGAGAGTGATCGATAGCATCATGAATGTGACTGGAAAGTTGAGTTCCTCTTAAGTGAGATCAAAAGTGTCGACAATTTCTTGACGACTGCTGAGAAGAAGAAATTTCAAAGTGAAAAAGGTGCCTGTCGTTTGGCCTGTTCAGCTGTGCTCCGACCGTCAACGGATACAACTACTTTACGATTTCAAAAGAGTTACCAGTACACGGCGCATTCAGGAGACAAAGAAGCATAGCATACTCCCTACTTGTATGGAGTTCATTCACAACTTGTTCACCATTTCTCATCCACTCCGTACAATACACAAGGTACTCTGCCAAGTACTGCATTCTCCAGCAGTACCTGCCGCAGTACCGTATAGCAAAAGTAGTTAAGTGTGTACATATGCAACCTATGTACAGCTTCACATTGAAGGAAAGGTCATTTGTATACTCGTATAAATGCTTCCGATTATACGTAGGAACTCCGATCTCGTTCCGGTAAAGTTCCGCGGAGCGCAATGTTGTCGTATGTTTTGGCGGATGAGACCTGTAACACCCCAAACACCTCGAAACCGATTACAACATTGGTCTTGGATGACATCAATGTGATAAGTAAGTAAAAACAAATTCCTATATCTAATTTCCTTACAGTAAATAATGGAAAGCACCAGTCTAATTCGAAGAAGGGGTAGGCTAAATGATGTTGAAGGGCCACAATAAGAGGCTGAACCCACCAGACAGCTGATGAAGACAAAGGTGTTGACACAGTCAACACTTGAAACACAATAGCTTCTTCTTCATTAACAGCTCTCTAACGGCTAGGTACAAATGACGCATTATGTAGGTGGTTGGCCCGAGAGGTTAGAAACCACCGGAGAAGCCAGAAAGTTGCTCATTTGAGACTGAGAAGAAAACACCGTCGGAAAACTGTCGATGCTTTCGGACATCTGATGATATGGCAATGAGCAAAAGCAAAATGCAAATTGTTCTGTTGTCTTTCAAGTGCTCATCCCCACTTTCAAACCCTTTTGTGTACATTACACAACCAACATCTGACACTTCGCTAGACAGTTACTTGACGATTTTGTATTTACATAGCTTACTGTCATTTGAAAGTAAGCCCTTCAGTTTTCGGTGCTTACTCATGCTCATGGAAACTTGAGAGTGATGCTCCACGAACTGCTTCCACGAAATTTGTCAGAGAAATTGTCAGATTCGAGCCAGTGAAAGACCTCAACGGGTAAGATTGAAAGCGCGGCGTATCCTGGATGAATAGGCCGAGCTGTAGCTAAGCCAATCGGACAAATGAAAAAAATTAGGAAAGTTGCCTCGGAGAAGTTTTATGATGTAGCTTCTTTTGAAGGCATCAAACATGAAGGATGGAAATGCTAGGATAATCAGCTTACTGCAGTATGACCGTCGTACGAGAAGGATGTGTCTCAATGTTTAGTGATGACGTACTGACTCCATTCACTTGTGGGATTATACTATTGTGGGACAGGAGGTTAGAAGAATCAAAGAACTACGATTCAGAGATTGAGTCGGAACTGCTTACTATGTGGTGATTGATTAGCTATAAAATACTGAAGTTCCATTTGGTACTACTCAGAGACCAAACAGCCGCCCAAATTGGCAATGCTATCAGAGTCAGTATTGAAAAGCCTCAAACGCGAAAGAGTGGTCTGATTCAGTAACCGCGACTTCTATGTACACTACTGTTATGAGGTTAGAAAGGTCGTAGCCACTGAAGGCGAAATCGAAGTAGCTATAGGTGAAGTAGCAGAGATTGGAAAACCAGCTCTGGAGAAAAATGTTATTTACTCGTTGTCCGACTTTTGCCCTTATCCTAGGGAGCTTGCCAAGGCCTGAGGACCTTCTCATCCAAATTCTGCTGGGACTTTTGTGGAAAGATCATGTTGAAAGCACCACTCCTTGACTGCTTGCCGCAATGGTAGCGAGGTAGACTCCAAATCGAAAGTTTGGGCGTTCGATCCGCTCGGTGGCTAAGATTTTTGCCACCAACCTAGTGAGTTGGCAGAAATCGTGGGGCCATAACAGCCGACCTATCCCGTTGAAGATAAAGCATAACATCGTCGAAATCACGTTCATACCCTTNGGGGGGGGGGGGGGTTGTACTTAGCACGTGAAGCAATTAGTCACCAGCTCATGAAATGTTCATAAGAGCGGGACAGCATTTGCGTCAAGTACTCCTTCCCTGCCACGAGTCCTATCACGGCAGCTCTCGCACGGCTCAACCACATGTTCGGAGGTAGTCGGGACTAAAACGTGCTCAGTACCTCGCAAAAGCCACTTGTAACGGAATGGACCAAACACGAAGTGTGCAGAAAAGTTCTTTTTCCTTCCATAGTTGGAATTCAAATGGCAGCCACTCCCACCTCAAACTTTAGTAGCCAAGTGATTTCTCTTCACTCACTTACAGTACCACAAACTGAATGTCATCTGTCATTTCTGTAAAGTTTAATCTTCACAGGAGAACAGAACAAAAAGCACGCCGTGCTTTCCAGTTCTAACGAGAGGCACAAGCTGAAAACAAATGACAACCACAGGCTTTGCTTTCATACCGTGAAATCACGTCATTTTCATCGAAGGGGTCATGTTTACCTGCTTTTGAAGAAGCTCTTCATGATGAGGGCTGCATGAAATAAATATCAGACCAGCTAGAAATAGCGCAGTGGTTCAAGGCGCAGTATCGGACTGATACTGTTAACAGGTCGGAATTGAACCGATTCAATTATAAATACCATATTCTGTTTACTTTCTCCAATCCACCAAAACCTAATAAAATACATAAGAAATAGTCAGTAAACAAAGAGCTACGGAACCGATGGTATAAAGATACCAATTCCCATAGGAAACAACTGCTAAACTTACTTTGGTGTTACTTTTTTCGGTAGACCTAGACCAAATGTACCATTGGAAACTCTACGATGTCAACCAAAAAAGGAATGCATGGCTCATCCTGAGAAATGATCTGAAATTCATGCTGTTAGGGTAAGGGCATTATCTTCCAAGAGTATGGTGCAGTTTTTGAGTTAATTATTCGACCAACAATTATGCTCTTCTTTAGTTCTGAGTGGCGTTGGCAAGTTGCCAATTTTGTGTTAGACTAATCGCTGAAAAGCCCCCTTAAGTTTGCCAAGGATTCTATGGAAGTTGAAGAAAGTCAACTGTAGGAGTGCAGGCACTTGGGAAGCAAGTGCAAACCAACGACGCGCTCCCTGAGATATTCATGAAATACACAGCATTTAACTTCAAAAACAGTCAAAGTAACAGACTGCTGCATAAGAAACGGGATAACATGACTGGAAAGTCACAAAAGCTCTGGACCATGAAAATCTGTTTCCATTCGGAAGGTGATACCCTGGGGAATGCAACGCGTCAGCGACAAACGAAGTACGTGGGTGATAAATTGAGTCAAAAAGGATTGTGCCTCTCAATCAAATTGTTATTGCATCCAAACAAACAAACATGAAGCATAAACATGAGCCTAGCCGAGTTGGTGGGAGCCAGCCCGAAGATATCTGAGGGAAGATCAACTACGATTACTAGCTCAGCAGGGATGAGTCTCCAAGATTTCTGCAAGCTGCAAAAATATCAAAGTAAATATTGAATGGGTTTCGAGGGGGTCGATATGAACGCAACGATTCCTAAAGGAAATGAGATGCTCTGGCAATATTTGGTTTGCCATTCCAGAGCCGTTCATCGCGCATTCCGAAAGCCACGCCTAAAGAGCATGGACAGATTAAGCAGAGAGCCAGTAAGGTCTCTTTCCAAGCCTCTAGATAACTGAATATTCAAATCCATCTTTCACATTGGAAATGTATTTTTTCACAAATTGTAAGCCTGTCTCCGTTGGGAGTTACCCATCGAACTATAAGAGTTAGACGTTCCTCAGGTGCTCTAACATTCAATCCGTTCTTTTGAGGGACAAAGATCATTTCCATTCGAAAAAAGACGGACCTATCTGAATGATTAAGCACAGAAAGACAAAGTCTTCGACGGAACAATTTTAATTTGGAATGCGCTCCGAATTTAACGTTTATTCAGAATTGTAGTGGAGTTTTGAATGATGTAAGCAAATAAGATCCGAGATTCGATCTCCGGATCATGCTCTTAATCATGGACATTTGGCACCACATGAGGTCTATCATGGTCTCCAAGGTCGTGCAGACCATGAGTCCCGGACCATTGTTGATGTGAGTGGATAGATGGATGAAATTTCATCCATGAAAGCCTATGAAACATTCTGCATTTATGAAAAAGGAAGGCGATAATGAGCAAGCAAAATAAATAATGCATGACAATTGCTGTTCTGGATAAGCATTATCTCATGCGAAATGCGAGCTCGAACTGTCATCGGCCCAGCTGCTGGATGGTTTTAAAGTTCCATTACCCTGGTATGCTTAAGATTTGCTATTTGCCGGGTAAGACAGGCTGGAATTCATCCATCAAATATGCCAAGATTCCAATCGAACCCGAATAATGCCATCATTATCACTGAGGCTTTTCTCGTTAGCGTTCAAAACATGATGAAGCGGTTTTTGGTCGTGTCAAATAATTCGCAAGGTAAATTTTCTATTCAGTCTGCGGTGCGAATAAAATTGATGAAAAAATGGGACCGGGTAAACATCAAGGAGTCCCTTTGGGGAGCACGCTACTCCTACTATTATTCATCGATTACATACTTTCCTTCAGTGTGAAGAATCATCAAATCGAAAGTTGTCACGCTCTTTTTACGAAGTTTTAGAGGTGATATTGGGTTGTTTGAAAAATGACTGCGATTTGTGGAATATATTTTTTCAAACGCCTATTTTAGGGACTTCTGAAAAGTCTGAACGCAATGTANTGGAATTTATTTTTTCAAACGCCTATTTTAGGGACTTCTGAAAAGTCTGAACGCAATGTACATACTTGACATATATTTCAAGTATTTTTTTCGACTATTTTCTAAGCATAAAAGTAAGTTTAAAAGTTTAAAAATGAGTAGGTTTTAAATATTCCTTTTTTTTGAAGACGAAACTGAGCAAATTCCATTTCCATTTATAGTTTTATCAGTCCATCGGTTGGAACATGGACTGTCAGATAAGGCATTTTGGACTCATTTTTCTTTTTTACATCCATAGTGACAAAAGAGCTGCTGTTATTTTCCAAGATACATGGGAAACATGATGTGAGAATGCCTGACCAGAGAGTACATGAGAAAGCTGGTTCACAAATTTTTGTTCAGACATATTTCACTTCAAAGTAGGCTGACCAGTAAGCATGGATGATGATCTTTTGATGGCATTGACCGAAACCGGCCCTCATGTAACCCATGTAAGACCCTCGTAAGAAGACCGGTGCATACATGGGAATAGTCAGGAGATTATTGGAAAATACGGACCAACAAAAATCAGATGTCCAGATAACACATGAATTGGCATGTAACCCATGTAAGACCCTCGTAAGAAGACCGGTGCATACATGGGAATAGTCAGGAGATTATTGGAAAATACGGACCAACAAAAATCAGATGTCCAGATAACACATGAATTGGAGATGATTCGCTTGAAGCAGCGTTTTGATAGCCGTGATTTGCACTTCGACGCATTGAAGACCACCCATTTTTGAAGCGTTTAGTGGCTGGTGTCAAAAGCGAGAATGAACGAAACACCGTAAATCGAATGAACTTGCTCAAATAAATCCAAAGCTAATCTTCATCCGAAGGAGGTCACGACGCTAGTTTGGGTGGGATCACAAAGGTGAGACATATGTGGTTCGAAAGGCTTCTAAAAAGTCAGAATGTAAATTCAAACCCTTACTTATTAGAAAATGGATGAAGCATCAGAAACCCCTTCCAAATATTTTGGTCATAGCAAAATTCTTGAATAAGAGAACTATAAAACGACCAGGAGGTTGGCAGAAGATAATCGAACAAAATACGATATATATATACCAGTCGGTTCGCCCGGCTAACGCCAGGCTCTCCTCCTTCTTACGGGTTCGCCCGGCTACGCCGGGCGTTCCTCCTTCCTGTGACAAATTTGCTATGCGTAAATAATAATTCGGATACTCTTTTTTCTTAGAAAGCTCTACACCCTAAGAATTAGCTCCGAATTGGGAGCGATTTTTCTTGTATATATATATATATATATATCGTCGATTGAGATTCGGTCTTTGAAGGCCCATAAATAGCAATTACTTTCCGAGCAACCCAATAACTAAATTAGAAAAGGCAAAAACTGGTTTAGTTTTAGTGTTTGCGTACATCATTGAGCTTTTTTGCTTCTACAGAAGTTATTTATCAATTCTCTATATTTTATATTCGCATCAGTGAGAAGAAAAATGAGTGGTAGAATATTGGAGCTCCTAAGTTGAGCTACTCATGGACAAGGACTTCAGTTATCTTTATCAGCCTTATATAGATGGTTGAATATGCACTACGTCATGTGAATCAGCAATCGTCTGCACTACATCTGCAATTTTTTCATAAGCGGATTGCTATTTTTTGGATAACATGATGCCTTTGTACTGATGAATGCGTGCTCGGGCTCAATAGGGTAAAAAGGGTCTAGCCTAGCTGTAAAAGTGAGCGCATCGAAGCGATTGAAAGGGGAAACTATCACGTATATGTTATGGAATGCGCGAGATCAGCAGAACCACTGGTAGACCAGATAAGCAAAAAAAATAATAATTTTTAAATTGAACTAATTGAAAGTGGAAGCAAGTTCTCATGGACCCTTCGCTTTAATGGTCCACTGGCTGCTCCATAAGGAATTTGGAAAACTGAACGCAGATAAAACTATGAAGGAAGAGTTAAAGACTTCGGAAGAAGTTCATTTCAAGTCATAGAAAAATCTGACTTCCAT